TTTCAACTCATCAGGATCAGCTAGCCGCAGCAACTCTCTTTTGCTGCTGTCGGGGACGGTGGGGTCCGTCAGCAGCACGAGAGCATTCACAGCTAGGCTGCCGCCAGCTAGGCGGTTGCTGCGCCGCACCTTCCTGCTGCTGCTGCTGCTGCTGCTGCTGCTGCTGCTGCTGCTGCTGCTGCTGGTTTCTGCGTCAGGAGAGTCGAAACGACGCCGAGAGCGCCAACGGCTAGAACGACGAACTCCTGCTGCTGCTGCTGCTGCTGCTGCTGCTGCTGCTGAGGATGAGGAGCGAGTGGAGACACCCCCGCTGCAGTCTGTGTCGCTGCTGCTGCTGGTGCTGCTGCTGCTGCTGCTGCTGCTGCTGCTGCTGCTGCTGCTGCAGGAAGAAGAAGAAGAAGCAAGACGCATGCGCCGCTGCCGCCGCGGAGACAAAAACTCTGCCCCCCACTGGCTGTCTCTGGGGTCCTCCTGGCTGACGGAGCTGCTGCAGCTGTATGAGCGTTGAAACCTGCTGCTGCTGCTGCTGCTGCTGCTGCTGCTGCTGCTGCTGCTGCTGCTGTGAGAGGGGGAGGAGCCCTCAGCTTCTGCTGCAGAGGGGCCCCCACGTAAACGCCGCCCAGTGGATGAGGAGGATGCTCGGTTGCTGCGAGCAGCAGCAGCAGCTGCTGCTGCTGCTGCTGCTCTTTGCATGCGACCTCTACCTCTTGCTGCTGCTGCTGCTGCTGCTGCTGCTGAATCATCATCATCATATTCTGCTGCAGCACGAGCAAAAGGTGACCTTGCGTGTCCTCTGAGCGTGGCAAAGCCAGCAATCCTCTGCATCTGCTGCTGCTGCTGCATCTGCTGCTGCTGCTGCTGCTGCTGCTGCTGCTGCTGCTGCTGCATGCGTCCCCAGCCCATCTCCAGAGGAGAACGCACCAGCAGCGGGGCCTCGCGAGCAGCAGCAACAGCACGAGCATACTCCCGCAGCACCAAAATATTTCCGCTCGGCGTGCAGCGCTGCGCGTCCCACAGAGCTCGCTGCACACAACAGCAGCAGCAGCAGCAGCAGCAGCAGCAGCAGCAGCAGCAGCAGCAGAAAGGGAAAGAGCAGGAAGAATATGTGAAAGAAGATATGCAAATGTTGAGGAAAAGGGATGGAAGCAGCAGCAACAGCAGCAGCAGAAGCAGAAGCAAATGGAAAGAAGTGAGGGCAGCAGCAGCAGCAGCAGCAGCAACAGCAGCAGCAGCAGCAGCAGCAACACACCTGCTGCAGCCTGTGCATGAGGAGAATAGCATATCGGCGGTGTGGCTCTGAGACAGCGACATCACCAAAGCCTTCATACAGAGACGGCCTGCCCCCTGCTGCTGCTGCCGCTGCTGCTGCTGCTGCTGCTGGTGCTGCTGCTGCTGCTTGCTGCTGCGTCGCAGCACGAGCAGCAAAAAGCTGCTGCCGCTGTGCTGCTGCAGCAAGAGCTCGTAGTCCCTGCGGCAGTGTACTTATCTGTTCATCTTGTATTGCTGCTGCTGCTGCTGCTGGTGCTGCTGCTGCTGCTGTTGGTGCTGCTGCTGCTGATGCTGCTGCTGTTGCTGCTGCTAGCCGCAGCAGCTGCTGCACCAAAGACAAACGGAGAGCAGCAGCATCAGCAGGAAGATGCACCCACAGCCGCCGCAGCCGCTCAGACCTACACCACCACGTCTCCAGTACTTCTGCTGCAGCACACACACACAAACATACTGCTGCTGCTGCTGCTGCTGCTGCTGCTGCTGCTGTTGCTGCTGCTGCTGCTGCTGCTGCTGCTGCTGCTGCTGGTGCTGCTGTTGCTGCTGTTGCTGCTGGTGCTGGGTGTCTGTCTGTACAGTGCGTCTCACCGGGTACAGCCAAGGCAAGATCACTGTTGCTGCTGCTATTGCTGCTGCTGCTGCTGCTGCTGCTGCTGCTGGTGCTGGTGCGTGTGGGGGCCCTTTCACAGGGGGCCCCACAAACGAAGCATTTGGTGCATGCATTGGGTGGTGGGCAGCAGCGGCAGGTTAAGAGTCGAACAAAAGTAGCAGTTTTCCTTCTGCTGCTGCTGCTGCTGCTGCTGCTGCTGCTGCTGCTGCTGCTGCAGCTGCTGGTGCATGCACCGCACAGCCGCCTGCATGCAGCATACAGCTGCGCGTTGGCGCAACCAAAAGACAGAGAGGGGACAGCAGGGGGCGGGGGCTGCAGATGAAAGGGATAGGTTCTTGCTGCTGCATCGAGGAGACAACCACGAGGAAGCAGAGACAAACAAATACCGCTGCTGCTGTCGATCAATACACCCTGGGGTGTATAGGCAGCTCGCGTCATCTCTGTTGATAAAAACTGCTCAGGAAATGTTGCTGCACTCGCAGCGCTCACGCCTGCAGAAAACATTTGTATATATATATATATATATATATATA